AAAAAATGGAATACGTTCAAAAACATTTTAAATTCATATGTAACTGGTTCGTAATTTGATAAATTTTGGCTGATGATGCTCCTAATAAAAGCGAAACGTCGCACATTAAACGAATAATCATTTTCGAAAACGGCTTTAGCCCAACACACCACTTCTGTGTTTGTTCAGATGGAATGAAAAAACAACAGCTATACGTGTGCGTCAAAGAAATTTAGTGTATGTGATGTTGGAGTGCGCACTGATGATATGAATTTACTTTAAGGGTACTTTTTTGTTCAATTCGTGATGAAGGGTCATCATGTACATATATATGTGTTGTTGATTATAAAAATGCGATTAGCCAAATGCGCTTAGTTACATGGGAATCATATATGCGTTCCTGGTGAGAAATAGAAGGCCAGTTTCTCAAGCAAAAATGAATATCTTGAAATATTTCAGAACATTGCATATGTCTCCTATCTCTTCAGGAACACAAAAATGGTTCGCATTCCACCTATAAACTGGCCGTTTCGGCCAATTCCATTTTTATCACAAGGCAAATGCTGGACCCTCACGCTATCTATTGATTTTTGTAGAAACCATTAAGGTTTAGACTTAACAGTAGACTTGATTTAAGCTACTTGGACTAACTTGATAGCAAAAAGTCAAACCAAATGGTAGTTGTACTCGCTGTTGACGTCTATTGTATTTGCCTTGTGATTTTTGATCCTCGAAATCATGTAAGCCATTTGCATAAAAATTACACGTTTTCTCGTCATTTCACACATTTTCGTTCGATTTCTTTGCACAAATTTGTGGATAAATTACATGTAAATAGTGCTTATAAGTTTGGCAACAACCCTAACCACGATAATCGTATAACTGCGCAACGATCAATGGAAAATAAAATGAAATGCACTTTTCTCATATATTCGCATTTATATATTGTTTATTTAACTTTGAAATGGAATGGAATGACAGGGAAAAAAGACGGCAAGAAACGAATTTCTCACCGCATAAAAACCCTTATTCGAAACGAAAACAGTTAAAAGAAATAAATAGTAAATAACAAGCAATGAAGACACGTGCAAATAAAAGCACATCACTTCTTAAGGAGGAGAAATATTTCGCACACCCATATAGCTGGATCATCGTTGATGCAACCAATGACTCCATTCAGAATTTGGCTTTATTACCGGGAAGCAATATTATCCTCGCCAACCATAATACAAATTCGGGTCAATATATGTTTTAGTGTTACGTTAGTAACACTAAATCGGATTGTTTCAATAATTACAACGTCTGTGCAAATAGTATACAAAATTAGTATGGAAGCGCCACTCGTTTTTGAAGATCGGTTTGTGGAACAGAAAAGCAAGTCTCATTGATTTGCGTACAACTCGTATAATTTCCCGAAGACGTCGCAACCTTCAAGGCCATGAGTTTAAGGCTACAACCATTTACATACATAAGGGATCCGAAAACCATACAGATTTAGATGATTATCAGTAAGTAGAAGAGTAGAACAGATATTATATGCATTAAATTTATCAACATTTACACCCGCAAATCTACAAAACCAACTTCACAGTCATAATAAGGTAGACACCATATCCAAAGTGTCTTTCTTGATTTCACAACATTGGATTGAGTCTGTAAATGCGACGATGGTAATTGATGTTGGACGAACATGGGGATACCCAAATCGAGAAACCGACCAATTAACAGGAATGTCTGGCCGACTACAGAGAAAAGAAGCTGACATTGGCGGTAAGGTGATCAAGAAAATATTCAAAATACCTAGATATTTTTTTATTCACTTTGAAAACAGCAACTGTCATCTTTATGTTGGTTGAACGTATGCCCCATCTTGAATATCTTTCGGTGATGGTACCGTCGGAATTTGGCTTTATATTACGATCACCGCCCATTTCGTACATTTCCAATATTTACTATCTACCATTCACCGGAGTTGTGTGGATTTGTTCAATTACATTGGTCGCTTTATGCATGGCTATCATTGCTCTAACGTTAAGATCACATTTAAAACCTGACGAAAGTACCGAAATTATGACTGTATTTGATGGTGTTTTGTTTGCGATTTCAACGTTGTGTCAAAAGGGGACAAATATTTTAACAAATTTTATGTCAGCTAGAATTTCACTGGTAAGAATACCATGTATGACTAGCCATCAATGTGATTATAAAATTTTCAATTGTATTCGTTTATATTGCAGTTTACATTTTACATTGCTCTGCTATTTCTGTACACTTCGTATACGGCAAATATAGTGGCATTGCTTCAGTCGACAACAAAATCAATTCGAACGATTTCCGACTTACAAAATCCAGCAATCGAAGTCGCAGTTGAAGATACACCATACAATCGGCATTATTTTAAAACTGAAAACGAACCAACTCGAAAGCTATTGTACGACACGAAACTCGCTCCACTAGGCGAATCAGAAGCGTTCATAAATAGGTCGTATGGCGTAAGTCGATTAAGAAAAGGAATGTTTGCATTTCATGCGGAGGCTCCGCCGATCTACCGTGAAAATGAGAAAAACTTTTTTGAACATGAAAAGTGTGGCCTGGTTAAAATTAAATTTTTTGGCATGTCTGATACGTGGTGCGTCATTCAAAAGCATTCACCATACAAGGAAATCCTAAAAGTCAGGTATGTTTGTCATAAATGAGAAATACAGCAAAATTTATATCTTGCACACTCAATATTATAGCGACATCTATTATTAAAATAGCTTGTAGTAAATGTATTTATAGCATTTCCCTGTAGTCGCGATGTTTCCTATTAAATTCCCCTGTGGTATGTAGTTAACATGTGTCAAACATGAATGTGTCAGTACTACAAGGGAATTTAATAGGAAACATCGCGACTACAGGGAAATGCTATAAATA